AGCAACAAGAGACAAAGTAATGGAGATTCCACTCACACAGTATGGTAAATAGCCCCCATTTTCTGAATCCTCTGGCTAGAGATATGAGCATGTAAAAACTTTTTGGTGCCTAGTTGCCATTACTGCAATGGATTGTTGATGGGCCTTGTTTGGGAGCCCACTGGCCCCTTTTCTGACTTCTCTGGCTACATACATGGAATTTCTCTCATATTTTGTTGCTTGTACCTCTAAGCAGTGACCCACAGGACAACCCTGAGACACAAAGCAGGCAGAACAATGTGAAACTTACCGGCACTCGGTACTTACTTAGGTTTGAGCTCTCTCTTCAACTGTCTGCTTTTGTTCCCCTCATCATTTAGATAAGAAAACAAGCAAACTACCCAGTTTAAAAATGTAACCCCTGGTACCAAGAGGCTGAAGATACACAGATTCATTTTGGCTGCTGGTCAAGTCACAGGAAATACTTCTGACCATTTTACAATTAACCGAAGCAGCAAGCGGCTATATAATAATTCTGGGAGAAAATTTTAATGTATCTATAGAGTTTCTGATCTTGTCTATTTCACCAGTTAATACTTTTTATTTTATACATGAAAAGCATAGGCATTTCAATTACCAGGTTTCCTTTTCACTTAAGCTTATACTTACAACTTTATATGGGATAAAAGACTAAGTTGTACATATTGTGAAACTGAAGTCTACTGTAGATAGAATTTTAGGAGCACTGCTGGGTTTTTCTTAGCTGGTGAAAAATAATAGACATGGTTGAAGAAGAAACCTCCCTATGACATTATTTATCAGAAATCATACCTGGATTGACTACTTCTTGGCACAATATCATTGACCAACGATATATTTTAAAAAATCAGCAAAAAATTCACCGAAATGAGCTATGCCATTATATGGACTTACAATATATGTATATCTATATCCTTATTATGGGCAATAAACACTTGATTCTACTCCTGTACCATTTTCCAATCAGCAGGAAAGGTAAATGTAATTCCTTATTGTTTAAGATGGCAGCATGACCACACCTGACTGCCTTCTACTGAAACAACATTAGATTAACAGTATTGGGAAAAGGGGGAGGGGCTTAAATCTACACCATCCAAAAAAAAAGGTCATTAACAAAATAACAATTGCACTGTATCTAAAAACTAAAATAGAGATTATCAATAAGAGGATGTATTCTAAAAGAGAGTCAATTTTGTGCAGAAACCTTTATCATTGGTCTAGAACCAATGATAAAATTAAGGTCTATTAAAAAAATTAAGGTCTATTCATACCATTTTCATTTGTTTGTCTTTCTTTTGAGGTGGGGTCTCCCTATGTATGCCTGGTTGGTCTGGAACTTGCTATGTAAATCAGGCTGACTTGACTCACAGAGATCCACCTTCCCTTGCCTTCCTGCTACTAAAGGAATGAGCTACGAGGCAAAGTATTATTCATCAAATTTACTTGACTGTCATGAACTCAGGCAAAATATTTCAGGATGTATATCTAAAGAGATATTACCCACAGAATCTGTGGTAATATCACTGGAAGAAAAAAAACTAAAAACATGGTGTAGTTATTTTCTCTTGGGACCAGGACAGTAGGTCAGGAAGAGCCTCCTTCACAAGTTGTGTGCACTATTGATTTTTAAACACTGTGTATGGATCATTACAAGCTTTACATTATTTTAGCAAGGCAAATTGATCCTTACCACTTTCAAAAGGGAATAAAAATAACTTATTTACCTACTCACAGTCAATCAATGTGTTTCTATTGAGAGTGGTAGCTAACTATTGAACAGAATGATTCTTTCCATGAATGATCAAGGCTTTCAACTGAAACATATTCAACTTTTAATCAATACTTACTTCAAACGATATTTTTGTTTGACATTGTTTTCAACAAACTTAACAAGCACTTGGCTTGACTATTTTCAACTCTTTTGTTTGTTCTCATTTTTGGTTTTTGAAGACAGGGTTTTTCTGTATAGCCCTCGCTGCCCTGAAACTAGCTCTTGTAGACCACTGGTCTTGAACTCACAGAAATCCATCTGCCTCTGCCTGGGATTAAAGGCATGACCACCACCGCCCAGCTCTATTCTGCTGGTTTTGCCTTGTTTCACTGCAGTGTTAGGACTAGGACCCCCTGCAAAATAAGCAAGCATTCTACCACTAAACCACAATCTCCCTAATATGTTTTACTTATTTTTTTAAAAAACATTTCTCATCATTAAAAGAAGATTTTTCAAAAAGCATGTGAATGCAAGTCTGTGTATGGAGGAGTACATGTACATGAATGCTAGTACCTGTGGAAGCCAGATGATGAATTTGGATTCCCTAGAGCTGGAGTTAAAGAAGCTTGTGAACTGCCCTATACTGATGCTGGGAACCAAACTAGGATCCTCTATAAGACTAACACAAACTCTTAATGATAAGCCATCTCCCCAGCCCCCTTAATATGATTTAATTGAATAATTCTATGTAGGACAGTATGTATTGAAAACATTTGTATCACTAAACATAAAGTACATCTGATTCTGAGTTAGTAGGATAGCAGACGATTACGATTTAGATATTAAAAAGGAGAGGGAGGGGGAGAGAGGAGGAAGGAGAAGGGAGGAGCTTATTTCTATCTCATAGTATTGCCTTAGCATCAAATGAAGTGAAACATTCAAATACATATAAACAGCAGCTCGTAAGAGAGGCTAGTTCTAGGACCTCCCTTGTCTTCAACATACAACTTCAGCTTGGGTAGGTTAATATCTAATTCAAAGTTCACTCAGTAAGAGCCAGGCACATTCTATACAAAAGATTCAACAGATGTCAAATTTAATGCAGCGTACAGTAATTAAAACTGAGTGGTACTGGTATAGAAATTGATAAATAGAAAAAGGCTTTGTAACAGGGGACCCAGAAACTAAGGCACAATTACGTATTTTAGACAGATACAAACTTGTGAAGCCTAGCACTACAGCAGTGAGAATACAAGAGCATGAACTTCTAATCACCACTAATCAAGCAGAAATGTTAAGTAGCCATTTCAGAGACACTATTACCAAACACACATGCTCTATGATCTAATACTCTTGCCTCTTATGCAGTCCAATACTGTCAGCAAATAACCTACTAATAACAAACAGTGTGGGAAAAGATTTAGTGCAATGTGCTAATCATGTAACAGAAAACTACATACCTCATAAAATACAAATACATGCAAATAAACATATGTGGACTTGAGTAAACATGAAAATAAAGTATGTAGGATGATATCATTATATAATATTTTACAATCTGTATAAAACAATACTTTCTATGTAGACCCACAAATAGTATGTAAGAGTATTAAAAATATACTACAAGTATGATACCAAATCACAGACGGATGGGTGGCTGTTGTCTTTGATACTGACTTCCTTAGTAAGTTGATTGACTAAAAATAACAAAAAATATAATTGTGAGAGAATGTTAAGCACATATTTGTTGTATTATTCCTGACACCTCCTGGGTTTGTAAAGACAAAAGGGAGACTACTCAAAGGCACCAATATGATCACTGTAGGGACCATATTTACCACTCCCTAGCTGCTGGGGGGTCAGAGATTTATGCCCCGGTGTTTCTTTTCCCAAAACTAGAGGTGGTACCCAGAGAAGAACATCTGCTAGTTCCTATCATGGAGTTTATAGAGGCATGACATGACAAAATGATTCATTCAGATCCTATCTCTTCTTGCAGTCCTGGGTTTAGCTGGTGGGCATCACCACTGGAACACCAGGACTAACTACTACCTGACTGTGCACTATCAACTTTCCTCTCAGTTCATCCAGGACCTCCAACGGGCATTCAGACCATCCTCACCACCCTCCAGGGCCAAACAGAGTTGCTGGCTGCATGGTGCTACAAAATCAGCAAGGATTAAATCTACTAACATTGGAGAAGGCTGGTCTGTTGTGGAATATTAGTTTAAGATGTGTTAGATTTCTTTATGCTATGGAATATTTGCTTAATGACACAAAGGTGTTTTGCATTGTTTTATGTTGCATTTGTTTTTATCTCTGTGAAGCTGTGTTACTTTGCCTGCCTAAAACACCTGATTGGTCTAATACAGAGCTGAACTGACAATAGCTAGGCAGGAAAAAGGATAGGGGGGGCTGGAAGGCAGAGAGAATGAATAGGAGAAATCTAGAGAGGAGGAGGATTGAGAAAAGGCAGAGAAGAGGACTCCAGGGGCCAACTAACCCAGCCACTCAGCCAGCCATAGAATAAAAGGGAAAGAAAAATATGTAGAATAAAAAAAGGTAAAAAGCCCAAAGGCAATATGTAGTTAAAGAAAAACAGAATAATTTAAGTTACAACAGCTGGCTAAAAACAAGCCAAGCTAAGTCTGGACATTTATGAGTAAGAATAAGTTTCCAATTATTTATTTGGGAGCTGGGTGTCAGGCTCCCAAAGAGTAAAAGAGTTAAAAGAGTTAAAAGAGTTAAAAAACAAACAAACAAAAAACAGTAGTCTTTGCCTCTTCCTTAGGGAGAAATGTTACTTCTATGTCAACCAATTAGGTTTGCTGAAAGACAAGATCCGACCATTCTAGACATCTCCAAAAATGTAAGGAACAGCTCAATGTCTTTGGCTGATGGGTCCGTGACAATCCAACATGAAAGGGGATACTACCTTTCATAATCCCTTCTCCTCTTTAAGAAAAGAAAAAAAAAACAAAACAATTGTTACAATTGTAATTGTATTTCAATTACAATTGTAATTCAATTCCCCTTATATATTTAAACATATATATATATATATATGAACACTGCATGATTTTAACATCCTAAGAAGCAAAAGGGACAAATTCCAGGTCATACAAATATGGTGATAAAATTTAAGAAGTAAAAAAAAAAAAAATCTACATCAAAGGGGGGTAAGGTGTCTTGATCTTCAGCAGTGTGACCTCCAGTAAGCAAGGAAAACTAAGCAGAGAGAACGGCTGTAGCCCCAGATAAACCAACTCAC